AAACTGGCTTGTAGCATTGTACAGACATCGCAGAGCATTGCGACAACTTGGAATATTTCTTATCATCCTAACCACAGTGCGGAAAGTGGCGACAGCTTTGATGAGTTACTAGCTTGATTCTCTTCCTTCTGTCCGGCGTACTGGAAAATGTCTCCATTGTTTGATTATAGAAGTGATGATACCACCTTACTATTCCTTTCCGTCTTGACTCTATTTACGATTGACAGATATCTCTTCACCAGATCTTAAACCATTCTTCACATATATCCCAACGGACCATTCTCCATTTCGAAAAACGGGCTGTAAAGAACTCTACGAAAAAATATAAATAGTAAAGTAATACTTTATGATAACAATTAGATTTATCCGAGTGTTTTGCAAATCTCAGTATATTTCCTCTCCGCGTTGCATCAATGCAAGACCATTTATTCAGTTCTGAAATTCTTTTACAGTTCTACTATCTATTAGAAACCTAACTGAGCATGAAATTTTGATTGAACTCCTTGTAGACACGGTTTCTCCGACGGGCCTCTGCTTTGGATATTATCTCTCCGGTATAATCTCCAAGATACTCGCCCTAAAGATACAGAAACATAACAGGAACACAAATGGAATGCGAACCCTTCGCGCTGATGTGATAATGACACATACGTATTGACCACCCGGAGAAATTTCTACTTTAAACTTTTGAAATTGCTCTTCAGATTTAATCCCGACACTTCGTCTTCTCTTACCCAGTACAACTTCTAAACCGAATTCGGGACCGTCTGTTGTTCTAGGAGAGAACGGATATGCAATATTTGAAGCAGAACCTTTTACTTTTTTCTCTTAGGACATTCATGCAAGAGCGGCTTCTCTTCCTTTGCTTTAGCCTTGGCCATTATCAAAATCTATACCTCTGTGTGAACTGAGTGAAAACACAAACAAACTAACTTCTCGACATGTTCTTCTTTGTTTTGGATAGAAGCCACTCATGATTTGTGAGACTTGACATGGTGTGTGTCTGTAACAGAGCAAAATAACGGACTCAATGTGGCTTTATTCTCCAACTATTTCATGTATTGGAACTATAGAGAAACAAAAAACAAACCTTTTCATTCGCAGAAACAGTTCAAACATGTTTTCGGCATATCCATTGAAAGGTTCCAGAGTTGCCTTGCATATGGTGATGCTGTTTGGAAGCACTTGTCGCTCCTAAAAAAATAAATATTAAGGTGTATCAACATACTACGAAAAGACATCATAATCCTGCTCCATTTTATAGCAATCCGGTCCACAAGCTTCGAACTTGTTATCCTCAGTACTCTCTTCAATTGAGCACAATGGAATGTTCTCCATCTGACTCATGTCTTCAATGAAGGATTGAATGAAGATATCAAACATTGAAGAATAGGTACCTTGGGTTGTTTCGATTGTGCCCATGCTGCTATGTCCAACATAAGATATCACAGAATCACTGATATTGATCTGAACATATCACGAAATGAGTGAACACACGATCATACAAACCGTGCAGTTTGGAGAAGTTGCCTCCCTTTCAACTCCCAACCGAAATCTTTTCTTCAGGCGTGGAAAGCTGAAACTCATGCATTCAACAACTTATGTTCATCTGGCTATTACACATTTTTTAGCTCAGGAACCGTTAACTTATTTGGAAAGAGCTTATATATAGCTCTATATAAATAAATATCGCCTATAAACGTTGATTATTTTAACAAAAAAAAGATTTTTCACCTAGTTTGTTCAACTCCCATTCTTCTAAAATACTTTCAAGTAGCGAATAAAGAAGTTCGTCAGTCATTGCCAGCCCCCAACCTCGATGTTCGCCATGAGCTCCCTAGATATGATTACAAAATATTAACAATGTAGAAGACAAACGTATGCATAGAGCTTTCTTAGATCAAGACAGAGCTTTTCTGTAATATCCAGATCTTCCAAATAGGGGAAGTTTGACAATCTTAATCTGTCCTCCGTCTTGAATGAATACTTTCGAAAGCAAAATCTAAGGATAGCTAACCACAACATTACGATACGCTACAGTATAGTAACTTTCTCTCGGCAGAATACGACTCGAAGAGAATCCTTGAACGAAACAAGGGTACATATCTCCAATTACACTCTCTGCCTAGAAGCCAATCAAATAATTATTCAAATGTTAATTAGACGTACCATACAAACAAAATCATTTTGATTCAAGGGGACAGGATCCAATGGATCAGGAAATGTGGGTGAGAAATTGAAAGTATGGTATCTTTTAGGCATATACTGCTTGATATGCTGCCTGAACTCATTCTGCGAAAAACAAATATACCTTATACCTCTACAACTTACTTTTACATATGCCCTGTTGAAATCAATATATTGCTTATAAATAGGAGTGTAGTTCTTCATTACATGTTCTTTAGCATACTTAAGAACACTGTAAACATCATCTTCGTCCTAAACATAAACTTTTGAAGGAAACTGTGAAGTTTCTTTACTTCAGAAATATCAGAAGAACTGGAGAAGTCCAAATCTGTTACATATCGATATCCCATCAAGTTTTCATTATATTTCGCTTCTAGTTCACTTCTTTCAATCGCTCTTTTCTCTTTTCTTAACACTTCCTTAATTGAAAATTTTCAAAAGTTCAAAAAGCATTCATAACAAACATATTTAATATTTCCTTCCGTTTTGATTGTAAATCCGCATAGTGATGTTCCATCTTGAGTAGCGTCCAGCTTAGTTTTCGGCGAATCTTCTTCCAATTTCGTGAAGTTTTCCTTGAGACATTCCTCGCTAGCACCATACAGTTTCATACTTCTGAGACTAACGTTCGCAAAACACGCTGTTATACATCGACTGTATGTATTATGATCTACGATCAATACATGCCCGAACTTCCCTGAGAACGAGTTTTGTATTTTACTTTTGAACTTTAAAACTAGAAATGAAACTTGGACGCTCATATGTACAATAGGCACACGATATGATTTTTCAATGGTATGGCTCAATTACAGTAATATAAATAAAAAGTTAATAAGACTTTATGCAAAAGTGACGTGCTACAGGCAGAGGAATCCTATTTCGAGTAAA